CAAGAACTATCTTGATAGGCAGTTGAAAGTTATTTAGTACTAGTTAATAGAGAAAAAAGTTAATCACAAAATGATAACCACTCCTCTTCCAACTCTTGCTGTATCTTATACACTTCTTCCACCCCCATAACTACCCGTACCCATCCTCCTTCTCCTATGCATAACGAACTCTCTAATTGTTCACATCCCTTCTTAAGTAACTGGATTGGAAGAGTAATATGCCTATAAATACTTCCTAGCCAATAAGTAACTGGATTGGAAGAGTATATGCCTATAAATACTTCCTACCCCATGTGTGGCCTTGCCCACCACAACTTAACTATGAATGTAATCAATAATCCCTACAAAATAATACAGTAAGAGAAAAGTTTTCTCCTCTAAAACTCTAATTTTCTGCCATTCTCTTAAGTTGGAACTACCTATCACTGGGACACGGCAGGCTCTCCTGCCTAGGTAATGTTTCCTACTAAAAAAAACTACAGGCGCTAGAAGTAGTTCTTTAACTTTCTCTGTTTTTTCTTTTTTCTTATTGTTTTAGAAATTTATTTCCCTTTTTAATAAATGCTAATTGGAGAGTATTTATTATTCTGTGGTCTCCTTTGGATGTTTGTCTTCTTATGCATGGTTTTGTTCAATGAAGTTCTTTTTTTATGTACAGATGCAGGCTTAATATCAAGTTGTTGCTCCATTTGTATATTAAATGTATTTCTCTTCATTAAGTGATGTGAGTTCTCTCAGATGGTAGACAGATTGGACGATGGAGCCATAGAAGCAGCAGTTGGTCCACTTGATTATAAAGGACTTTACAAGGTATAATGCTTCTACACTACATCTTTCACAAAACTCAATGTTATAGTTCGTGCAGATTTTAAGTTTAATCTTGGGTCACAGGCTGTTGGGAAAGCACTATTCAGGGCACACGTCGAGGGTCAGCTTAAGGTATACCCGTTGAACCAAATGTTTTAATTGTTGCTGGTTACATTTCATTACCATATACTGATTCATGAAATTCACAGAGTGAGATAATGTCTAATCCAGAATTATTTGTCGAGCCTGATCCTGTACTACCATTGACTCTACTGGATCAAAAAGAGGTATAACCCTTAAGTGATAATTGGTTATTATATTGGCTGTCATGATTTCGTATTCATTGCTTGAGAAAATGTTATGCAACAGGCTGGAAAAAAGCTTTTGCTTATTACCAACTCAGATTATCATTACACGGATAAAATGATGCAGCATTCTTTTAATAGATTTCTTCCAAATGATATGGGATGGCGAGATCTATTTGATATTGTAAGTTGAGTTTTAGTTCATTTGTCCGTATTTTAATATTTTTTGGTGCTCTTGATAGTTTGTTTGAGACATGAGGGTGATCTCCCATTCTTGCTTCTCTAAAGTATTGCCGTACACTTGTTTTTTTTTATCAAGCTCTTCTGCAATGTCTTCCTTGGTATTTGGTTGTAATTATGTACAGGTTGTTGGAGTAGTCTCTATTTCTAGAATCTTCCTGGCTCTCTATATGGGAGTTTTGCCCTCTGGGATAGTGGGTTAGGTGCTGTTTTTGTTGTTCGATGGATAGCTTTAGTGGCTCTTGGGTCTTTGTAGTTCTACTTCTTGGATAATTTTGTTTCTTTTTCGGTACTTTGTTCTTCACTTCTTTATTTTGGCTTTTGTAATTCTTGAGGAATTTCACTTTATTGATTGTGTTGCTTGTTCTTTTCACTCCCTTTGAGAATTAGTACCCTGGAACTGATTTCTTTTTTAATATCTGAATGAAAAATTTATTTTTCGTATAGAAAAATTAGGTCTAGGAAGAAATCTTTTATGGGTTTCAAAATGGATTTTGTGTTATTATGAATTTTGGTTTTTGTTGGACTAGTTGTGTTCTTCCAATGAAAGATACTCATATCTCCTGTTGTAATTCTTCATTTTAGGAATGATTTTTTTGTTTCCTTTTTGTTAAAGGAAAAAAAAGCTGACGATTTACTTATAGGTAATAGTCTCGGCAAGAAAGCCAGAATTTTTCCAAACGTCTCATCCATTGTACGAGGTGGTGACTGGTGAGGGTCTCATGCGCCCATGCTTCAAGGCTGTTACAGGTAATTAATGTGCTTTAGTCCCTATCCTACACCTTTTTTCCAGTTTTTTTAATATATACGATTTTAATTTTGATTTTATAAAAAACTGTACGTCCATCATAGGCAAAAGAAGGGGAGATAAGATATCCCCACCGACAATTCAAAAGAGTTACAAAAAACAGAGGCCAATGGATGAAATTTGACTTGGGCTATAATTACCGAACCCATACCTCCGCATTGGATTCTTGATTATGATAGACCCTAGAATTCCTCTCGAACCGAAGCCCCTCCAAAGGAGTTGCAACAACATTTTGGACTTGTTGAAGTATTGGTATAATTGAATTTACAGTAATCCAACAACTTAAAATTTTGGGTTGATTAATGATTTAACATGGTATTAGAGTAGGAGGTCCTGTGTTCAAATTCCTATAATGCCACTTTCTCGTTTTCACTTGTTGGACCTTAAATTTTTTATTACACAAGTTAGGGAGAGTGTTAAGTTATTGATGTAATAAATTTTTGCAACCCATAAGCTTTAAGTTTTTGGATAGATTAATGAATTAATTGGACCAAAAGATCTTGGCTTGATCCTTAAAAAGAAGTTCCACTGATGAGTTGGAGGAGTGCATCCAAAACTTTGCCATGCCAGCATCACCGGAGGCTAAATAGACTAACCAATCTTTCCCAACAACCAGTCGCAAATAGACAGAAAAACAAAAGATGCATCAATGTTTCCTCACTACCTTTGCAAAGGACACACGAAACTTGGGGAAAGCTATGTATTCTTTGAATTCTGCACAAGTATTCATCCTGTCAAATGAGAAATCCACAAGAAAACCTTCACTCTTTTAGAAATCGTTCCAAACGAGAGATATGGATTTCAAGGCTCAATAAGGTTCTGGTTTTTATGCTTCAATGACATTCTTCTCGGTATTGCCTTGAATTGGGATTGATCAGCTTTTATATATGGATTCTTGGATTGATTTTTGGTTTCATTTAAAGATGGTTTTCTTGCCAACTCTGACTTCTGGAACACTTCTTAGTTTTAACATTCAAATTGAGAAAGGAGTGTGAAATTTTCTCCAGAAGGGCAATGATGTTGGAAAAGTTGAAGCATTGAATTAACTGGATCTTAGTTTCTTAATCTTTAGTTGAAGGTGGCTTGAATAATGGGGGTATGAAATGAAACAATGGTACTTTTCTACCAAAAGGGAGTTGGAAATTTGGCCTTCATTCTTCTCCTTTGGTGTTGTAGGGTGTTTAGCATTTATGGTTTGAATCTTTTGATTTTCGTTCAGAAAGCAAGATACTTGATTGGTTGAGATACCATTCGATAAAATTTCTAGGCTGTGGGGGTTTATAGAGGTTTCTTTCTTTTCCAAAATGGAACTACTTTACAGGGTGTTTTCTACTAATGACTAATTCTTTTGTTTTTGGATGTTGGAATGTATCTTTGGGATCTCAGATGATTGAGTCTAGCAGTATTTTTGGAGGAGGCTGAATTTGTTGTCTTTTGATCTTCATTAACTCTTAGTTTTGGTACATCAAAAGGCTGCAGAAAACAGCATTTTAATTTAGAATGCTTTTGGAGAATGACTCAAGTAATACCACGCTTCACTTCAATATGGCTAGTCTTGCCTCTTAGTGTTCTGTACTATGTTTTAGTTTCTTAGGATGGGATTAGTAACCATAGGTTAATTCAAATAACCTATGTAATTTTAGCCAATTATCCATTAAGCCTAGCCTACATGTGACTGCCCTCTTATACACTTTTGATTTGAGAATTAATTAATGCCATTAGGCTTTTTCTCTACAAGATTTGGTATTAGAGCAAATCTTGAACCTCTGCCTCTGGTTGTATCCAAGAACTTGGATGTGGGTGAGCAAGGAACCAACCCCAACCTGCTTCATGTGGTTGCTCTCGACTTTCAATTCGACATCCTTCCTATGGTAGAATTACCCAATCCTAAGAAATTGTAGAAAAATTACAAATGATTTGTGAGGATTGATGTTGGAAAACGCTAAGCTAAGTGGATAAGCAAGGGAAGGAAAAACTAGAGGAACGAACCAAGGGTGTAACATCCCAAGTCAACTGCTAACAGATATTATCCGCTATGCCATTACATATCGCTGTTAGCCTCACGATTTTAAAACATACGCTAAGAAGAGATTTCCACACCCTTATAAGGAATGCTTCGTTCCCATCTCTAACCGATGTGGGATCTAACAATCCACCCCCCTTGGTGGCCAGCGACCACACTGGCACACTGCCTGGTGTTTGGCTCTAATACCATTCATAACAGTCCAAGCCCACCGCTAGCAGATATTGTCTACTTTAGCTCGTTACATATCGCCGTCATACTCACGGTTTTAAAACACGTCTGCTAGGGAGAGGTTTCCACACCCTTATAAGGAATGCTTCGTTCCCCTCTCCAACCAATGTAGGATCTAACAATCCATCCCCTTGGGGGCCAACGTCCTTGCTGGCACACCACCCAGTGTCTAACTCTGATACTATTTATAACAGCCCAAGCCCACCGCTAGCAGATATTGTCTGCTTGAGCTCGTTACGTATCACTGTCAACCTCATGATTTTAATACGCGTATTTTAGGGAGAGATTTTCACACTCTTATAAGGAATGTTTCGTTCCACTCTCCAACCGATGTGGGATCTCACAATCTGCCCTCCTTGGAGGCCCACGTCCTCCCTGGCACACCACCTGGTGTCTGGCTCTGATACTATTTGTAACAACTTAAGCCCACTGTTAAAAAATATTGTCCGCTTGGGCTCATTATGTATCGTTGTTAACCTCACGGCCTTAAAACGCATCTGCTAGGGAGATGTTTTCACACCCTTATAAGGAATGCTTCGTTTCCCTCTCCAACCGATGTGAGATCTAACAATAAAAAATTTTGGTTAATCTGTTAGACTGCCATGCGACCATCCCAGCCAGGACAAGCCTTGCCGAGAGCGATCATCTATCGCCTCAGATTCGAAGGATCGTTGAACTGTTAATCATGCTCTAGACACATGGCAATGGTTCATCCACCCAATTATGGTTCTTGTATCCTTAGAACTCAAGGACACAGTTGTACAACCTATAGAATAAATCGGGGACATTCGACAAAATTGGAACGATACAGAGAAGATTAGTATGGCCCCCCTGCATAAGGATGACACGCACAAATCGAGAAATGGTCCAAATTTTTTATTGTTAGATTCCACATCGGTTAGAGAGGGGAACAAAACAGTCCTTATAAGGGTGTGAAAACCTCTCTCTAGCAGACGCATTTTAAGACTGAGGCTGACGACGATACGTAACGGGCCAAAGCGAACAATATCTGTTAGCGGTGGGCTTGAGTTGTTACAAATGGTATCTAGAGGCAGGGCACCTGGCGGTGTGCCAGCAAGGATGTGGGCCCCCAAGGAGAGTTGATTGATCCCACATCGGTTGGAGAGTGGAACGAAACATTCCTTATAAGGGTGTGGAAACCTCTCCCTAATAGACGCGTTTTAAAACCGTGAGGCTGACAGCGATAGGTAATGAGCCAAAGTGGATAATATCTACTAGCGGTGGGCTTGGACTGTTATAAGGGTGCAAGAGATGGACAAAAGGGAAGATACATCATCGAACTCCGTTTGCAAAAAAACCCAAGGCAAGAAAAATGTGAACAGAAAACTCATGGAACCCTTAATAATTCATCAAGGAGTATAATTCTCTGTACTGTTCATTTTTGCTCTACCAAAACATTGAAGGGAGACCCTTCTATGCTATAATTTTTTTAAAACTTTCTAGGATATCGGGCTTATTTCTTATTTTAGGGATTGTTACCAAACTCTTAAGAAAGGCGTTTTGCACTTTGTAACTTTTCACTACTATAATGAAAAAGTTAGTAATTTTAATTGCCAGGTTATGTAAACGTCTTTATGGTGTGTTCTTGCTTATGCTTTAATACCGGTGTTTAATTGATCAGCTTTATATGCAGGGGGCTTGTACTCTGGTGGTAGCGCACAAATGATTGAGAACTCTTTAAACATTCATGGCGATGAGATATTATATGTAGGTGATCACATTTATACCGATGTAAGCCAATCTAAAGTACACCTGCGCTGGAGAACAGCATTAATTCTACGAGAATTGGAAGAAGAGGTATGTGCTGAAAACTATTAAATACTCTCTAAACTGTTCTTTTCCATCTTCTTTACGCAAACTTGAATTTAGGGAAGAATAATAATAATATCGTATTTCTTCTTAAGCATCTAAAACAAATACAAGATCCTCTTATAGAGAAAAATGACCATCAGCCAGTAAAGAAAGGAACATTACAAATATTAATAAGGAATATATGCATAATATACAATCAATATTAGAAAAGATATAACATGAGATCCTACACTCCCTTCAATTTGATAAGTTTATCAAATTGTCTTTTTAAAGACTTTTAGCTAACAAATCAATTGTTTGATCTATCGTCGAAAGATAAGGTATGCATATAACACTTGCATCAATTTTCTCTTTTATGAAATGTTTGTCAACTTTAATATGCTTTGTCCTATCAAGTAGGCCTGGATTATGAATTATGGCGACGGCAACCTTGTTATCACAATAGACCCATATGGGCGTTTGTTTAGACAATTTTAATTCTTCAAGTATCTTATTAATTCATATATCTTAAGTGCTGTATGATGATCTAGTGCTTGCTACCAAAAAGACTTGTTAGAGGTGAGTGGCCACTTGGGTTCCAACAATGGGTAGTGGTGGCTGGGGTTTTAGAGTGTGGCTAGAGTTTCTAGAGACCGTTGGAGATTGATAATTTTGTGGCTCTGATACCAACTTGAATTCAGGAAAGAAGAATAATGTTATTGTATTTCTTCTTACATATCTAAAACAATACAAGGTCATCTTATGTAGAAGAAAGACCATCAACCTATAAGAAAAGGAATATTACTAATATAAATTAGGAATATATACACCATCAATATTACAAAGAATGTAAAAAGGAAATTCAACATATAAGAAACTAATACTTGCATTACCAAAGGAGTGCAAAAAAGATGGAGATGGATTATCCTCACCAAGCCAAGAGGATTGCAGAAAAGCTTCTAGGTTGGCATAAATAACAGAAAAAGTATAAATTACAAAAACATTTCGATAGGGAGAACCAAGTAAAAGCTTGGATTCCAACGATCTCAAAAGACATTTTAGCTAGCCTCCTTCCCTTGAAAAGTTCTCTTGTTTCTTTTTCAAACCACAGTTTACATAGAAGCGTTGTCACCACATTTGTCTAGAGGACTCTCATTTGACCTTGGAAGGTAGAAGGCTACACCACTCAAGAGTTGAAAGATCCTAGGTCCTTTTCCTTATATATCTTGATTTTAAATTAGCGTCTTCACCACTTATTATCTCGACTTTAAACACCCTAATTCATGTTCCCAATATATCTATCACAACCAAAAATAATTTCTCAAAACTAAGCAATGGTGATGTGGCTAATTTATTTTAAACATGGAAGCTCTTTTGTCAAGCTTTTCCCAATTTAAATCTTCTTTTTCTAGGGCATTCAATTATTGGGCTCGCTATGGTGTTAAAATTTGTTATAAACCTTCAATGAAAAAGAATTTAGCCACCGCTGAACAGGTTTCTTTTAACATTTTAAGCGGTGAGCTAATCAGCAATAGTTTCTGTTTTTATGTGATCTACTTAGTTGCTATCTTCATTAATAACAAATCCTTGAAAACTAAATCTATATACATGTGACTTAACATTATTAATGGTGGGCTAATCGGCAATAACTTTTGTTTTTAAGTGATCGACTTCATTGTCAAGTCTATTAATAACAAATCCTTGAAAAATAGACCTCGATACCATGAAAAACAATTCATTACTAACAAATTCTTGAAAAATAAGCCTAGGTACCATGAAAAATATATTTTTTAGAAGTTAATATATAGAGAATTAGTTCTAAGGTACGCAAAAATGTGTGGCATGTTCTTCAAGATTAGTGCTATAAACCCATATATCATCAAAATAAAGTACCGAGAAGTTTCTAAAAATGGTTGTGAAACTTCATTCCCTAAAACCAAAAATTGTAGTAAAAGCCATTATTCTATGAAATGTTTTTCCCTTGTAGAATAATGGCTACGTAAGTATGCTGCTTTTCTTAGGGCTTTTATATTCAACTTCCAAAATGTTTATATAAAGTCTGGTTGCAATGATGCAGAAATATGAACAGAGCTTAAATATTGAACTGAGAATAAACCGGAAGAATAGAGCTTCCAAAACTTTAGCATCTTTCTCATCTTGAAAAATGATGGAAGAAATGGAAGATAATAGGCATAAGTGTCATTTATAACTCATTAAAAATAAGTAGAATTCTAACCGGAATTGGGTTCTTATTTAATAAGTTATTTAGGGTAGTGCTTTTTATTGGAAGTTCAAAGTTTTGGTCCAAATCACTTCTGGATCAATCAATGATTTTCCTGTTCATGCTTTTCTAGCCAGATTATTGTTGAATTCTGATATTTATATTATAATATTTGATTGTGCAGTATAGTGCTTTGATTAGTAGTCGTGGTCATCGAGCATCTCTCATTGAGCTTATAAATCAAAAGGAAGTTGTGGGGGATCTGTTCAATCAACTTCGGCTTGCTTTGCAAAGGCGTAGTCAAGGTCGTCCTGCTCAAGTAAGCTTTTGTTCTTTGGTTTTTCTATACCGTCCTATGAAGATATAAGGAGTATTTCCTTTGGAGATATCACTTTTCTATGAAAACTTTGGGTAGATTCTTTTTATACTTTTGGCCTTAGTTTGGCTTTGAGTAGCGGTGGTTGGAATATGACCAAGGAGGTGCTTGATTTACCCTTATCTTCGCAATAGAAGATGTTGTCTATGGCACACAGATCTCTTTGTTATTATTTGTAATATTTGGTCAAGGATGTAGGGAGTAAATGGGGGAGGATAGTTGGAACATGGCTATGCCAGACCCTTGCAGCGACTAACATGGATGATGATTGATTATTTTGCGTATGCCAGACCCTTGCAGCGACTAACATGGATGATGAGGAGCTCACTGAGAGCATGCAAAAGCTGCTCATTGTCATGCAAAGATTAGACCAGAAAATTGCTCCAATGCTAGAAGCAGATGGAGATCTATTCAACAAAAGGTAAGACTCCATAATAAAGTACAGCGAAGAAGGATATACTATCATTTTGAAAAGGATATCCATGTTCATTTGTTTTCCTATTGTAGTGCTGATTATTTTTATTTTTTATTTTTTCCAATTGTCAAAGGGGAATGGGATAGTTGTTGATCCTTACTCGAAGATTATTAAAACCCTTTTTCAGATAAGAACGTGAATTTCCTTAATTACAATATGAATACAGATTTTCTAGAGAACGTGAAGTAGGAAAGGAGACAGCATCATGTGAATATGAAGGTTGAATAAAATGAAAAGTGCCAATATGGCTTGTATTCAAGTTTAGACTAAAAATAACATAGGATTGGCACTTGTCTTCTTGCTGCTGCATTCTTGTTCTCATCTCGACTGTCAGTAATCGTTTTAGCCATGCTCGCCATAGCAGAACAATACGTTACCTAGTTGGCTTTTTTGGACCTTAGATTTAACCTACTCTTAATGTTCTTCCTAGGTGGGGTTTTCTCTCCCGTGCAGGCCTATGGGATAAAAGCCATTTGATGCGACAGATTGAGAAGTATGCTATTTCCCCTTCTGTTCAGATTTCAATTTACAGGAATAAAATCTTAGGTTATAATAATATTGGCAATGGTGTTCTTTCCAAAAAATTGCAGGTATGCGGATATATACACTTCGAGGGTTTCGAACTTCTTACACTACACACCATTCACGTACTTCCGCTCACAAGAACAGGTCGATGTTTTATCTTAATAATTCTCTTAAATAGTGTGGTTTTCTCTTCGCATAGTATTTGAGAATGACATATTTTTTTTTGCAGACATTGGCTCATGATTCATATTCATTCTACTGCTCGCATGATGAAACTACTGCTGATAGTTAAGGACCAAGTGAACAACTGGTGGCTTATATTATGAGTCCTTTCTCTAAATAAAGTGCTGCAGTTGGTGGAAGGTTCAATAAAAGAACGGAGAATATTGTGC